CTGATGAGATCAGATTCACTTGTTGAGTAAGTCATGGTCCATAATGAGTGCAAAGTTTGTTCCAAATGCAAAGCTAGTAAAAGAGTATTTTAGAACCTAAAGTGATTCTTGCTGTTATCAGAACAGGCCTCACAGGTACTGAAAGACAGTAAGTGTACCACAATAGGAGTTGTGTGGACTGAACCCTGAACTTCCTTCCCTATCCCACTCCCAGCATTTACCACTAGGCTGTGGGTATGGCAACATCTGCCCAGGTGAAAGCACCACCAATGGAAACATGGGCAAAAGCGGGATAGATGAGTTAGTGGATAACACCAGGAAACAACTGCATGCAACATCCACAAAAACTGCTGCCAAGTTATCCAGCCCATTTTCATGTCTCACCCAATTCCCTCCCCTTACCGCCACTAAAAATACTCCAAAAATATACATTCACCTCAGCAATAATCATAGCTATCATTCATTATACAGTCTCCATGAGTCAGGAATACACATGCCTTGTATATTTTCCAATATATTGCCACAAATTTTGTGACTTAAAGTAATGATATTTATTATTTTATAGTTCTGGAAGTTAGAACTATAAAATATATATGCAGGCAGCATTCCCTCTGGGAACTTTAGGGGAGAATCTGTTTTCTTGACTTTTTCAGCTTCTAGAAGCTAGTTACATCCCTTGACTTGTACTCCTTCCTCCATCTTCAAAGCCAGCAATGTAATATCTTATCTCCTCTCTGATCTCTATTTCCATCCTGAAATATTTTACTAACTCTATCTCTACTGCCTCCCTCTTGAAGGGACTCATGTGATTATGTATGGCCCTCTCATATAATTCAGGATAATATTTCTAGGTATCCTTAAATGTATTTGCAAACTTTCCTTTCCCATCTAAGGTGACATATTCACAGGTTCTGAGCATAAGGACCTAGACATCTTTGAGGGCTGGAGGCCTACTAGAACTTGAATAAGTTCTTTTAATATTCATAACACCACTATGATATACCCATTTGCAGATGTAGTGACTCAGGCCTAAAATAGTTAAGTAACATGCTGGACTTGATGCAATTTGAAAGGGGCAGATCCAACCATGGAAAACCTGGTGCATAGAGTGAGGATCGTTGCCTTGCTCTCCCCTACATCTGCCTCTTTTCTCATATCAGACATTTTCCTTCTGTTCCTATTCTAAGAAAACCATAACATTTGCTTCCATGTTAAATCTCTTTGCTTCACCCAAAGTGCACTCAACTAGAGCAGCTGAGAGGTGTGATGGGAGAAACTAGGTCTTGGGAATCTGAAGTGTCAGTTCAGATACTTACACTCCTCAGCAGTGTTACTAACCTTAGGGAACTTAGTTAACTTCTATCTAGTTTCATTGGTAAACAAAAGTTGTGGTCAAGATTACTGATTGAAGGCAGGCTAGGCATATAGCAAGATAGTGAAGGTTATCAATGTTGATCTACTATTATCTTTGTACTCTTAGAACCTTCATAGGTTAATTGCCCTTCCTCCTCATATGCTTCTTACTTCAAATAGATAAATGGTCCCCAATGCTCCAGGGGATTGTTTTCTGATATAATTCTTTTTTTTACAAATATTTATTTTATCTATTTGAAAGACAGAGTTAACAGAGAGAAGTAGAGCCAGAGAGAGGGAGAGAGAAGAGAGAGAGAGAGAGAGAGAGATGTCTTCCATCTGCTGGTTCAGTCCCCAGATGACTATAGGCCAGAGATGAGCTGTTCAGAAGCCAGGAACCAGGAGTTTCTTCCATGTCTCCCATGTGGATTCAGGGGCTCAAGGACTTGGGCCCTCTTCCACTGCTTTCCCAGCCACATTAACGGGGAGCTGGATCAGAAGCGGAGCAGCTGGGACTTGAACCAGCATCCATATGGGATGCCGGGGCTGTAAGCTGGGGCTTTAACCCACTGCACCACAGCGCTGGCCCCTCTGATTTAACTTTGTGACTAGCATGCCTGATGCTATCTTGACTATTAAATACACTATGCCTATTGACTAACAACATTTTAGACAATATCATTGTTTTTACATTAATATGATAACTGTTAAGCTTTTGGGAACACTGAGAGTAGTCCACAGCTTAGACTCTGTTCCTGATTACTTCTTTGGGGTAATTGGATAGGAGCTGAGACGCTAGGTTGAACACTATTGAAGGATAGGCTCTAATTTATTCAGAGTGCTATCTAAAGCTTCTTTGTTCTTGTGGAGTACAGCAAAGATTCACTCAGCTGAAGGTACTAGCAGGAAAATGGCAGCTTATCCTCCATCAGTGGGTTAGGGTGACAGAAGGAAGTACACCAACAAATATGCGAGGCTGACAGGATAGGAAGCTTTAGTAGGTTTTGGATAATAAGAAAATTTCAGTAAGAAAGTGACTTCTGGGAAGAGAATGAGTTTTCCATGTTACATTTGTATGATATCCAGTCAGAATGGGCAAGCATGTTGGAAGCATATCTAAATAATAATTCTTGAATTCAGAGGAATATACTCTAATTCATAATCACTGCTGTGTGCTGTTGGACTTCCAGAAAACCTCACAAAAATCCTGGCAGACAAGGCTGGAGAGATCAGTCATTTTTGTCTGTTGAGAGAATAAATCAAAGGGCAGGAATACAAGGTAAATTCATCAAGGCCATGGCATGTAAGTGACATGGCCTGAGTCACAAGTCATTTTCCTATGTCTGACTCCAATGCCTGTTCCTCCACACCAAGCATTCCCTTTCTATACATGCCATAAGGGCTGGGCTTCGCTGGGTGCTTTCTTAGCTGCACATACTGCCTTACCCTAGAATTTGTTCACCAGGTATATCATATCTTATTCCACAAACTCTACCAAATATGGAGACAAATCAATGACTCTGGGTTAGGACAGAAACCTTTCCCTTAATTGGGATTACAGGTTGAATTTCTGAGGTTCTATCAAACATGTAATAATTCCTTCTAGCAAAACAGATAAAGAACATCATTTTTTAAGAGTTCATTTAAGAACTTAGATAAATCCTTTACCACCATGTATACCTTCAACAGGTATTTATTTTATTTTTTAAGATTAATTTATTTAATTTGAAAGGTAGAATTTCAGAGCAAGAGGGAGAATCAGAGATCTTCCAACCACTGGTTCACTCACCAAATGGCTGCAATAACCAGGGCTGGGGCAGGCTGAAACCAGGAGCCTGGAACTCCATCCAGGACTCCCATGAGTGGAAGGAACCCAAGAATTTAGGCCAAATTGTGTTGCCTTCCCAGGCACAATAGGGAACTGGATGGGAAGTAGAGCAGAGAGATCTCAAACCTGTTCTCATATGGGATGCCAGCATTGCAGATGATGGCATAACTCAGTACACCACACCACGAGCCAATTGACATGCATTTATTTATTGTTTTAGAGATTTGTTCTATTTATTTGAAAGTCAGAGTTACAAAGAGAGAAGAGAGGCAGAGAGAGAGGTCCTCCATCCCCTGGTTCACTCCCCAGATGGCCACAATGGCCAGAGCTGTGCTGATCTGAAGCCAGGATCAGGAGCTTCCTCCGGGTCTCCAACGTGGGTGCAGGGGCCCAAGCACTTGGGCCATCCTCTACTGCTATCCCAGGCCATAGCAGAGAGCTGGACAGGAAGAGGAGCAGCCGAGACTAGAACCAGCACCCATATGAGATGCCAGCAACTCAGGCCAGGGCTTTAATCCGCTGTGTCACAGCGCCGGCCCCTGGACTTGCATTTATTAAATGTTACTGTTACACACTGCTTAAAACATCTTGAAAGACAAAGTCTGTGCTTACTATTTAATAAAGTTTTCATTTACAGTTTCATTTAAATTGCAAAATCCTATGACATCAGAGTAAGCATTGAATGGATCCCACTATAGAGAGGAGAAAACTGGCTCAGAGTAACATGAATGACCTAAGAAAGAGAGTGTTAGCTATAGAGCCTCCCTCAGAGGAGTAAAAAATGGACTTTTGGACAAACCAAGACAAGCACCAGGGAGGAAGATGCCTGTGAGCAGGCAGATGGAATTTTGGTGGTTGGAGAAGGAAGGGAAGGGGCTGGACAGGCAGCCAGAGGAACCAGTGAGCAAAGCAAGGAGTGGGTACAGTCCAGAGTGTGCTCTGGAAGGGTCAAAACAAATAAAGCACACACAGGTACCCTGGAGCCTAAAAACCTGGAATGAAACTGCACTGCTCCACCTCCTCCCCACTCCCCACTCCCCACTCCCCACTCCCCACTTCCCTACACTAGTCTCTAAAGCCCTCCTTCAATGGTCACCCTTAAAAGGTCTTTCTGCCTCTCCATCCCCATGGCAACAGCCTTAAGGCTCACTTTCATCCCCCTGGCTTCTCATTCTAATTGCTTCCTATGTGGTCACCAGGAGAAAGCCTGCTGCTCTGTGAGGCTACACAAATGCAGGTCTGATCCTGTCACTGCCCTGCCAAATAACCCCGTGAATATACATCTTCAAGGCTCTGCACCTCTTGCGTTCCCATCTCATCCCATCCCCCTGTACTTGGGCCTTCAGAGATTTTGCAGGTCTTAGATAGGGCCCAGTTAACTGGTA